TGGTTCGAGCGCCAGCCGGCGCCATTTTTAAATGCCGGCTAGTTCGGACTCCGTGCCTCGTGGAACGAGATGTACAGCTAGTTCGGATTAGAAGCCTAATCCGAACTAGCTAGTCCGTGCCGCGTGTAGCCGTGCGGCACGGGGTCCGAACTAGCCGGCAATTAAAAATGGCGCTGGCCGGCTTCATGCAAATGAAGCCCGGGAAATTCAAATCCCGGGCTTCATTTGCAAGTGCGGATGTCTACATTACCCCCGCTAGTTCGAACTAGCGGGGTAGTGTAGCCATACCCTGGGGAACATAAGAAAGTTATATTAAGAAGAACCTGTCAGCATGATGAGATCTCAGCCGTTGCCTTTCACGTCCCCACACAGATATCGAAGGGCAGGTGTTTGTTTTTCCCAAGGAATCTGCTGATGCTCAAGTGATCCTGAACATGAATCACAATGGTCCCCTTCAGAACTTTACCGTGTGTCTCAGATACTTTACAGACCTGACCCGGCCCTACAGCCTCTTCTCCTATGCGACCTGGGCCACAGACAACGAGATCCTCCTCTTCAAAGACAAACCTGGGGTGCTCTCGCTGACTGTTGGGGGCGAAGAGGTGGTCTTCTCTTTCCCAGAAAACACAGGCTCAAGAGGTTCCTGGGAGCACATTTGTGCCAGCTGGGAATCTGCTACTGGCATAGCCGAGCTCTGGGTGAATGGCAATCCCTTACCTAGGAAGGGGCTGCAGAAAGGCTACTCTGTCAGCAACCAGGGTGTGATTGTCCTGGGGCAGGAGCAGGACTGCGTCGGAGGTGGGTTTTCTGCCAAACAGTCATTTGTAGGGGAACTTACTGATGTATTTATGTGGGACCTGGCCACCGCGACAGACGCTGTGTGGACTACCAGCGCTGATTCGCAGTTGCCTCCCTCTGTCCTGAACTGGGGCACTTTGCAGTATCAGATTAAGGGCTATGTGGTATTGAAACCCCTGCTGAGATAAGGGCCCTATTGAAATGGAGTCTGGCCTTGGGAACTGGGGTCTGGCCATCTAACTCTAGACCCCATGGGAGCATGGCAGAGAATAGCAATGCACATAGGCCTGTAGCTTCTGAGCAAAACTAGCATTAACTTCTCCTCTTGTGACTCCTCCCCCAGGTGCTTGTGTCATTTGGGTATTTTCCTGTGTCCAAAGCCTGGTCTGACTTTGTATCCCAATAAATGGTCTGATTTGCTGCCTTATAGCTGTGGCGTAGTGAGAATCCCAGCATAGCCCCAGTAGGTGCAATCTCAGAAAGGGAACCTGGTTTGTGTCCCATTCTGTCTGTGGGCTCTGAGAGTTCTAGGCTCTTAACGTGCAAAGGAGTCAGCTCTTCCTTGGGAGAACCAGCCCAGAACATCCTGATGAATATTAAACACCCTCACTGGTGTCTAACGACACAAACAGTCCCCGTTCCACAGTGAGACGGGACCCAGCAGGTACAACTTGGAGCTGGGGTAAGACTATGCCCCCTTAACTCTTTAGCCCAAGCTGTCTCTCACAATGCACAAGGAGCAACCCCGTACGGGAACTCTTATCACTCAGTATGACGGCAGGTGACACTCCAGAAAGAGCTAGATCGTGTGAATGCCCCCGACGGCAGGTGTCACTCCAGACACAGCTAGATCGCATGAATGCCCCTGAGCTTCTCACAAGAAATCACACAGAGAAAGACCCCAGGAAATCTCCCAATCACCTGGCCAGGCAGCTCAGAACTGTGCTGTCTTGTCTGGCTCAGAAGCCTGACCAGTGTAAGTTCATTACCCTGCCTGTCCTTCCCTCAATGTGGAGTGTGCACACGCCCAGCTTTGAACTGGAGCTCAGATTTTCCAAGTACTTCAATCCACAGTTGTAGAGTTGAATCACAGGCTGAGCCATACCCCATTATAAAAAAAAAGGTGCTGGTATGTGCGGTGCGAGTACTCCCAGTGCTGGCTGGGGGCTGTGCCAGGGGACAGCGGTGTGGCGCGATTGCTCCCCAGAATGGTACCAGTACGCTGTACCGGTGTGTACCATCACAAAAAAAGCACTGAGTTGCACTCCTGCGAGTGGATCACCACTGAGCAGTACTGAGCACTGAAAGACCATCAAACTTAGAAGGTCTTTCAGAAACAACCACACAGCACACAGTCGTAATTTCAAACACACACTCATGCCTGGAATGACCGATCGGTTTTAGCAGCTCACGACCTTTCATATGCTATTTTATAGGGCATAGTCACAGAATTGGCTTTGGCTGTTACTGTCTCAAGTTCAACAAAGTTCTCTCTGCTTCCCTTAGCTCTAGAGCCCATAGGGACACATGGAGCCACAGGCAAGTCACATTGACCATCACAAGAATAAGCCCCATTGTCTTTTATCAACTGTATTAAAGTCACCAGCAAAAATACAAAAGTCTCATAATCCCAAAGCTCCTATATTGATCCACGCCCGACGTCTAACCACAGACAGACTCACATCCTAGGTAGAATGCGAATCTGACGTCTCTCTCATGGATTGAGCATCAGGACGGAAATGGATCCTGCTGGAATTTGTCATCGGAAGCCCAGTTTGCCTGGGCACCCGCTTTGTATAACAGGAGTCTGTCTGTACCGACATTCTGCGCTTGCCCATGAAAGTGATCATCCCACCAGTTAAGCTGCAGAACCATCTGTTCCCTCCCCCCCACCAAGCAGGAGCTGCCCAGGTAAGATTGTCCACACTGCAATCTCCTGGTCCGTCCTGAGCCCCCTCCACTCCCCTAGCTCCCTCCTGTGAGCAACAGACAGGGCCAGTTGCAAAGCTGACTGAGGTTGGCACTGATTGGCTAAGCAGAAGAGGCCGACAGATGCAACCAGAGAGCCACCCTAGTTCGAACTAGGGTGGCTAATATAGGCATTCAAACTTGCAAATGAAGCCCGGGATTAAAGCATGTTCCCGGGTGCCACCATTTTTAAATGCCCGGTAGTTCGAACTCTGTGCCCGCAGCTACACGCGGTATGGGCTAGGTAGTTCGCACTAAAGCCCCTAATTCGGACTACCGTTACTCCTTCTGCAATGATATTTTAATCCCGAGCTTCATTTGCAAGCTTGAATGACTACAATAGCCACCCTTGTTCAAACTAGGGTGGCTAGTGTAGACATACCCACTGATTCTTAAATTGTTCACCCTCTGGTCTGGGTGCAGGGAAAAAGCTCCCTAAAGTCTACAGGCAAATGGCTTCCACAAGGCAGAGGTGAGTTATGGCAAAGGGCTCCCCAAAGAAATGACCAAAGGGGTCTGGCCAGCCATCAGCGTCCCATCCTCATGTCCAATCAGAGATGGGTTCTGGTCCCCCTTGATACAGATCTACTAATCCACTGTCTTGGCAATCACTCAGCCGAGCCTGCTCAAAGTCCATGAGCGAAAACAAAGTGAGCTGGGAGATTCCCTTCTCCCAGGGCAAGTTTCACTGTCTCCACAACACATTGTAGGATTAGCTCCTTGTGCCACCCAGCCCAGCTCCCAATGCCTGCAGAGCAGCCTCCCAAAGGGAAGGAGGGGGCCCAGGGATGGGACATGTCCAGGAAAGGTACACTGGAGACCAGAGATAAATGTGGGGTCAGCAGCTGCCTGGGATGGGACTAGTTTAGCTTTGCTCCACTTGCTTCCATGCTCTCTCAGGTTCTAGCTGTCACCTCTCTGCTGTCCAGGATCTGCGTCCTTCTTCCTACTACTACTGCCAGCTACTGCTTCCCTGCCATTCACCTGGATTCTCCACAGATGGCCTGACCAGGCATGCAGCCCCTGTGTGTAACTTTTCCTTGAAGGGCTGGGAGCAGGGAACAGCAAAGTGGGTGCAAGGGACCACACTGTGATTCCAAGGCAGGGTCCATTCATGCAAGGACACAAGCAGGCAGGTGTGGCCTGTAAAACCACAGGACGGAAATGCTGTCTCAGTAACTCCCATCAGTCCTCAGACGTCCTTGGCAGGGTCCCCCTTAGGGATGTTAAATATCAGTTAGTTGAATAGTCGATTAACCTCATGAATTCAGTTACTCGATTATTCTATAGTTCCTGAGGGTGGGGCCAGAAGCCAGTGCGCTCTGGCCTCCTCCCGAGGAGCCCCCTGCCACTCCACGTTGCGGTCTCTGTATCAGAGGCAGCAGTCAGTCCTCAGACGTCCTTGGCAGGGTCCCCCTTAGGGATGTTAAATATCAGTTAGTTGAATAGTCGATTAACCTCATGAATTCAGTTACTCGATTATTCTATAGTTCCTGAGGGTGGGGCCAGAAGCCAGTGCGCTCTGGCCTCCTCCCGAGGAGCCCCCTGCCACTCCACGTTGCGGTCTCTGTATCAGAGGCAGCAGTGTGGAGTGCCAGGTGGGAGCTGGTCCGCAAGGGGAGCCAGTTTACAAACTAGCTCCCCTCACAGACTGGTTGCCTGTTGCCCCCAGAGGCAGCAGCACAGGGTGGCAGCAGCCCCTGTCCTTGGGAGGGGCTGAACTCCTGGACCCGGCACAAGCCGGAACTGAACCAGGCTGCCTGCCTGGCTTCTAATACACTTTAGATGCAGCGCCTCAGCGGGGGTAGGTCCCAGACCCAGTGTGAGCCAGGACTGAGCTGGGCTGCTGGCCAGCCTGCTGAAAAATTACTGGCAGGTGGGGGGAAAGGGCGGGAAATACATGTAGGCTGTGTCTACATTGGCACCCCTTTCCAGAAAAGGGATGCTAATGTAGACTTCGGCATAGCAAAATCCACGGGGGATTTAAATATCCCCCGGGGTATTTGCATTAACATGGCTGCCGCTTTTTTCCGGCTTGGAGATAAGCCGGAGAAAAGCGCCAG